TGAATGATCCAAGAAATAATCAATTATATTACTTGGACAACCATACAACTTTTAACCAAACAATTAACCGAAGAAGAAATACTTTATCTTCTTCTCATCAACCTTAATCAATATTAATGACAACAGAAAACAATTTCATTGAACAGTTTGAAGACAACGAAATGACCCTCAGGAAAATCACTGCTTTTGAATTAACAGGAATCAAAAGCTTATTAGCAAACTTATTGAATACTGCATTATTACAAATAGAAGAAAGCAATAAATCATTCCTATTAGCTAAGGCCGCATTATGATACTACGTTCAGGCTTTACCAGAAAGTGAACTAATTCAAGATATCCAAGACCTTTTATTAAAACCTAAACCATTAACTACTCAAGACAACACCGATTACACTATAACAATTAATCGAATAATCAGAAATATCAGAAGAAATATTGATATACTATTATCAGAATTAGATCTTGATGAGTAAAAGAAGACCTATTTTAATTGAAAGAACAGACCAAGAAATACTCGAACAAATAAGATTACATCTTATACAAATACTTCGATATACACAAAAAAGGTTTAATTACAAAACAGAATTATCTAAACAAGACTTAACAGAAACTGAATATAGGTTTCTAATATTCCAACAACACGCAGTAATAGCAGTATCATCAACATATCAGATACTAAATCTTGAGATAGAAGCCACTTTCACAAGAGATACTCTAAACGATATAATTAAAAGTTTAAAGAATTTAATTGAAAACATTGATCAAGAATTACTAGAATTCTCTGACAATAAACAAGAGATAACTATTTGCGAGCTTTGTCAACAATTTAAAAACAGAATCAACCCAACAGTAGATTCTGACGGAAATTATTCAGAAAATGATATTTAATGAACAACGAAACATTAAATAATCATATTCACCAATTAACCATTCTTAAAGGACAAATAGTTACTACAAAAAAACTTTACTGATATATTCTGGCAGGATACCAGAATAGAAATATACGAAAGGATAATTAAAAGATTGACTAGAATCTCCAAGATAATTCAGAAAGAAATTGACAAAACTGAACATCTTAGACAATCTAAAGATGGAACAACAGCAGATTCAGAAGATTCAGAATAATGGAAACTTTGAAAATATTAACCAAATATTTGAAAAATTCAATAGAGATTACTTTAGTAATCGCTCTAAAGAAGAACTCTATTATATAATATTTGAAATATTTTTACATCTGAAATCAATCAAACTGATAAAACCCAGTTATGAAGAATTAGAAAAATTCTTATGGGAAGAAATGAAAGAGAATAAAGAACTCTCAAAACTAGTCGAATACATTTGGAATGAAAAAACGACCTTAGAGGTAACTCTAACTAAAAAAGACCAAGAGAACATTACAACAATATCCAAAGGAATAGATTTGAAAAAACAAATCTTCAAAACCTTATGGTTCAAAGATCAAAAACATTACCAAAAATGATCAAAAGAATTTGAACTACTGGTTTGAATAGAACAGAATTGCCACTCTGGTAAGAGCTACTTTTATCGAACCCAAAAACAGAAAAAAAAACAACAAAAGAAATATGAAAACTGGTTTAAAGTTCTAGAAGAAACTAAAACCGAAGAAATGAGAATCCTTAAAGATTTAGAGTATTCTGGAGAAAAAGTAATCTTTGAGAATGATAAAAATAAAATTCTTCAAATAATGATCCCAAAACCAGAACAATGGCTAGAAAAAATAAATGGTAGCCAAATGTATCTTGATCTAATAAATAAACAAGATCAAAGACTAATCAATGAATTAGAACAGGATCAAGAAAGAAGGAAGAATACTTTAAATAGAATAAAATGCTTAAACAATGATGAATTTAGAATAATTGAGCAAACCCTGAAATATCTTTATAACCAAAGAAGGGATGATTTTTACCAAAAAAACCTTGGTAAACGAATTAACAAAATTTGATCAGTTCGACAATTATTTAGAAGAATATTTACTTAAAGCAAAATTAATAACAATTAGAGGAGCAATAGGAGTAGGAAAGACCACATGGGCCCTACAACTTAAAGAATTCCTCATTCAACTAGGATACAAAGTATTCTTAATGGAAGAAATCACTTTACAACATAAGGATTGGCTTTCTTTAATATACTCCGACATTAGTAAATACTCATTAGCATTCCAAGTACTATTAATAACACAATGGAATATTAATTATCAAAAATTAAAAAGACTCGAATTGGAAAAGGTTATTGATGAAAACACCATCATCATATGTGATCGAACTGCAGTAGAAACGAAAATATTCACTAAACATAATATCAAAAACTTAGAAGAGTTACAATTATTAGAAAAACTTCTTTACCAAACGGAGACACAAATATACAAAGATACATATTATCAAATATATATCAAATGTGAAAAGGAAGAGATGATTAAAAGACAGGCTAAAAGAAATCAACAAGAAGAAAAAGATATAGATAAACAATATCTATACGAGATATATGACATGTATGAAGAAATGATCCAAGAAATATACCCAAGATATATTGAAGTATCGACAGAAATACCAAAACCAGAAAACATATTCCGATCACTATTCATCCATAGTGCAAAAGGAATTAGAAAAAGACCTGAAGAAATAACATTAGGATCAGAACAAATAAGGAATTTAATAAAAAGACGATATACAGTTATCACCCTATTTAGAGAAAGAGAACTATCAGACGAATCCATTGAAGTCTTAACAGCAAAATAATCTAAAAATGCTAAAATATATCTGGAACAACACTCAGGATTTGGAAGACACTTTGAAGAATATAACAAAACATATTAGAACTGTATTACACGAAAATTATTGAAGAATTAAAATTCAAAATGAAACCTGAACGATTACAATTTATCAAAGTACATGGATATCTTTCTCACAATAGATCTGGGACTCAACTAGCAACAACTAATGATAGTGATTAACAAAATCACTATATTATGTTGAAATAGCAATGTATCTATATCTAGTACTACCACACGAATATTCTCAGATAATTTACAATGAACCCAATAATATGTATCCACCTCAATGGATGACAAAGAAACAAATGGACCATCAAGTATGGACTCCATTGATCCAATACTTTAAAAATGAAATATTCAAAAAATACATACCAAGTTATTTAAAAGAATGGACCATAAAAGGAAAAATTATCAATAATCGCATCCAAGAACAATTTCCTAATCAAGAAATTTTTGAAGAATACAAAACACTATATGACAGTGATGAACAAAACAATTCGGCTGAAAAACTGAATTATCTGTGAATATTATATCACAATTCATCATTAAGGGCTATAGTAAAGCGTCTGGTATACATGTTATTTGAAAAATCTGCTGATGATTATCATCGACCAATTCAGAAAATTTAGACCTACAACTTAACCGAATATTTACTTACACAGATTGACCAAAAATTCAGCATAATAAGAATCCACAGCATTTAACTATAAACAATGCTACAAATATATAAATTTGGAATAACACCAAAATTCATGAAAACAATCAAGTCTTAATAGAAAAGCTTTGATTATTAGGGATAGTTAATTCAGAGAACATATTATTCTCATAACAATCGAAATTTTTATATTATACCATGAAAAATGAAATGTACTATTATTTGAAAATGTATTTAAACACCAATATTTTACCTTAGGCCATGCAAAATTAATTAAATGGTTTTCATAACCCGGCCGGGTCAAAATTTGAAAATTTCAAAAAAAAA